GTTCGCTGGTAAGTATTCGGTACTAGTATCTCCCGTCTCTCCGCCTATAATCATTAACTGCACTTCACTTAGCCCTCGAGTAAGATAGAAACGCGCTCTATGCCTCTCATGGAGATGGTGCACTGGTAGCGAGCGGTCACTCGTATGGTTTGAAACAGAGATCCTCGAATAGTTTCATTTGTACCTTGACGGTAGCTGTATTGCTCAAACAGTTCTTAGTGCTCGTATCATGATCAGCGACCGCAGCCGGAGCGCATGTGAAGGAGCCTCACGAGAAATGGTTAGATACGGAAGTGGCATATTACGATTTGCGTCATGAGGAGAAAATTGTGATTCGTGCATGACATAAAATCGCAAACTTCTACGAGACAACAAGGTGGCATAGCTGTGATTTCGCACAACCTAACACTTGCTGCATTGTCAAACTATGTAGCTTGGAGCTTGACGAGCTCGTTTTTTCCATGTTCAAGTGGCATGGAAACTCACGAGTGTGCATCGTCTACTTTCAGGAGTCGAGTGGGAGACTTGCAAGGGAATGGATGGAGTTACTCCCCCACGGTACGAAATGCCATAAATGGGACAACCATGGTTTGCGCCTGAAGATCTCGATCATATGGCGGAAAGGTGATTTGTATGTGGTGCCCTTGAACTCACCAGCACTTTGATGATCTCAAGAAAGGTGACTCGGAATCATGGGTCGCTCAGGCTGTTCGATTGTAGGGTTGTCTTTGGCATTTGGGATGATGAAAGGGCCGGAGGGATACATGTCGTAAACTACGGTTTCATCTACCACCGGGGTCCGGCACATGGTAAATGTCTCGAGCTCGGAGATAATCGCGACGAAGCGGCATATTTGAGTCGAGTTGAACGAGTAATGGTAAATAAGAGTCCAAAAGAAGAAGCGGGTTTTTGGCGGCTATGTATGGATAAGCCTGAGAACTAGAAAACTGGTGGACCCATCTAGAAGGTCATCGCCATACCCATCGCCATCCTCAACCACCGGAAATCCGAGAAACAACGTGTCTTGGAGTCACCGATTCAAAACCCCGAGTCCAACGTTCAATCACAGCTGACGTGAATCAGAGTTTGAAAAGGTTCAATGCTGATGGCGAATCGCACATACCCATGAATCATGACGCAGAGCAAGCCTTGCGATCGGATCACCGCTACGAACGTTCCAAGCTCACCATGTCACCGGGTGGAACACCACATCTTTGGATGGCGACTTAATCAAAATTCGGGGGCATGGCCAATCAAGTGAATCAGGTGAACCGTGAATGTCGTCTTCCTATCTGCTGCGTGGATACCTGAAACAGTTACCATCAGGATCATTGACTGATGTGGAACATTGCGACTTGGATCCATGAGCCCATTCGCTTAGATTGTCAAACAAGGTTATGATAATAGCCTGATGTTTTGGGCGTATGGAGAGCAATGCCATGAAGCGGGTTTAAAACACTCTATCACGCGCACCTCTGCAACTTCGAGCAAGACGCCATCCGCCCACACACCAAGTCCACCTCAACTGTACTGCGGCTTCACTAAAATGGCGGCGCTCATCCCAAACATCACATCCATTCGAGCATTTGAAGATCATGAGGATCGCGTGGTCGCAATCGCGGTTTTCAAACCCCAAGATAGCTACGACGAACGCATGGTCACGGGCTCATGTGACGGAATGCTTCGTCTGTGGGACTTAAAAACAAGTATAATGTTGAAGAAGATGGATGGGCATAGCAGTCGAGTGCGGGCATTGGCTGTTTCACCAGATGGAAAATGGATAGCAAGCGGCGATGAGAGCGGAAAGCTTATCGTCTGGCATGCAAATACTGGGGAACTCAAGCAAACAATCAATAAAACCCACGACGGCTGGATACTTTCACTTGACTTTTCATCGGATTCCAGGATGCTGGCCAGTGGATCATCTGACACTACCACGAAGCTATGGGATATATCAACGTGGCAGGTGAAGTATACACTCAGTTGCAGTGGAATTGTCCGCTGCGTTCGGTATTCGCCAAAGTTGGGCAATTCGCAAGCATTTCTTGCAATTGCAACGGACCGCAATGTCCAAATTTACCACAGTCACTACACTTACAATTTCATGGGATCATCACCTCCATTTCCCACTCAGTTGAAGAATACGATCAGTGGAGGATTCAACAACTCGCTTGCTTGGACACCAAATGGTAAACGGCTTTTCTCGGGGGGGAATGGGGTTGATCCCACCATACGAGAGTGGGATGCATCGACCTGGCGGCAGGTCGGTGATCCCTGGAAGGGTCATTTCATGGATATCTATGCCATTTCCTTCAACTCTGGCAGCACTCTCCTTGCCTCCGCATCTCATGATAACCGTGTCCGCCTCTGGCGACTCTCAGATCGACGAAACGTCGCCATATTCAAGCACTCTGGGGAGGTGAACTGCGTCACGTTCTCTGCAAATGGCAAGCACGTCCTCAGTGGAGGTGTGGATAAAAAGATCTCAGAGTGGCCAACATCTGAGGATGCTTTGCCAGATGATGATTCAAAGGACGGCCTCATGAAGGAGCAGGCTATGCACCACGTACGTTTGTTTTCATTTTCCCGCCCATTCATCATTTAAGCGTCTTTTTCATGCCAAGGCTCAAGCCTACTCTGATTTCAAGGCATGTTCCAAGCCTTGACTTTTATAACGCAATGCGAATATGATTTACGCAGGTTCTCGCTATGAACTCGACAGTCCGCAACGCATGCATAGCTGGGGACTGGCCTACCGCTGAAAGGGTGCTAAATCTGGATATCTACGATGACACCAACGATCATACGGCCTATGTCAATCGCGCATTTGTTATGGCGCGGAAGTGCAACTGGGACCAAGCACTTCAATACGCAATTCGGGTGAGAAGGCTGACCCACCATGACTTCCTTATAAAAGTTAACTTTGATGATGGCATAGTCCGTCAGCATTCAGCCATCGTTGGCAGGCCATATCTCCAAGGGCATTGCCCTCTGCGGAAAAAAGCAAGTTCTGGCTGCGAGGATATCATTTGACCTCGCATCCATGTTCACGAACCGAGATTTAAAGACCGACCACTTCCTTTTCTTGATCAAGGCAGGTATTGTTTTTCTCATATACTCCGTGCTTCATTGCAGTTTTTAGACCATTGCATTGTTCAATGCAGATGAACATCAAGAGGCAATGCTTCGCATCCGAGAGTTAGCTGCGTCTCCCGATGTCGATCCTGTTGCTTGTCATATCGTGGAAGTAAGTACCCGTTCGATCACATCAGGTCCATGTGTTGTCATTGATTCTTGCCCTTCGTACACCAGGCCTACCTACGCGTCCAACTGGGAAACATTGCCTCGGAGGGCGCGCGCCACAGCGAAGCTGTTGAACACTTCACTGCGGCTGTCAACGCTAGTAATTTCTTTTACAAATTGCCGATTCATTTGATGTACGATGAATTTATCGTGGTACGCTAATATGACACAACCAAAAATTCTTTCGTGCTTAACTGTGTTTTCCACAGCTTTTTGGTTGGGACCTCAAGTACTTGTGGCAAACTGCGAACCAGCAACAGTGCTGTGCATTCTTTCGAGCAGGTAGTTTTGGAACAGCCATCGAATCGTATCAGTCTATCATGGACAAGGTTGATGAGGATAGGAAGGCCGGCTTACGTGCTTGCTTCGCTGGTAAGTATTCGGTAGTGTCTCCCGTCTCTCATAATCATTAACTACACTTTACCCAGCTCTCAAGATCGAAACGCGCTCTATGCTTCCCATAGAGATGGTGCACTCGTAGCGAGCGGTCACTCCTATAGTTTGAACTAGTTTCATTTGTACCTTGACGGTGGCTGTATTGTTCAAATAGTTCTTAGTGCTCGTGTCCTGAACAACCGTAGCAGGCGGAGCGCATGTGAAGGACCTTCACGAGTTGGTAAAGCATAGCCTGAGACACACCATAGATGGTTCGATACGGAAGTGGCATATGACGATGTGCGTCATGAGGAGAAATTTGTGATTCCTGCATGCAAACTTCTACGAGAAAATAAGGTGGGATAGCTGCGATTTCGTACAACCTAACACTTGCTGCATCGTTGAACTGAGTAGCTTGGAGCTTGACGAGCTCGTTTGTTCCATGTTCAAGTCGCATAGAAACTCACGAGCGTGCATCATCTACCTTCAGGAGTCGAGTGGAAGACCTGGAAAGGGATGGATGGACTTTACAAGACCTATCCTCCCCACGGAAATCCTCTAAATGGGACAGGACGCTGCTCACCAACGACAAACGACACAAACGGCTATGAATCGTGATCTCTGTCTCCAAAATCACCAGGACTCTGACGAATGAACTCATAGGTATCATTCCGGAACGCAATCTGAGAGAACGCCTATCATGGACATCCCAAAGGTCAACTATTCGTAAGCAGGACATGGCTGATTCCCCGAGTGGGATTTCGACGTCAGCCTCCGTCACATACAGAGAAAGCAGGAGCGTTCCATCGATTACGCAGAGCGAGCCAAAATGCTATCGCAATCAGAGCTATGCAGGCCAGATAGACTCGAGAAGAGGCAAGCTATTCGTCACGACAGGCCATAGTCTGCGCCTGAAGATCATGTGGCGTAATAAGGTGATTTGAGATCCCAACAAGCGGCTTCACAGAAGGATGTGATTGGATGCGTTGCCCTTGAAGTCACCAGCACCTTGATTATCTCACAAAAGGGTGACTCGGAATCATGGGTCGCTGTTCGATTACAGGGTTGTCTTCGGCATTTTGAATGGCGAAAGCGTAGGGATGCAGGTCGTAAATTGCAATTTCCTCTACCACTGACGCACCGTGAATAGATCGCAACGAAGTGACCTATCCGAGTCGAGTCGAACGAGTAATGACAACCAAACCGGCTATGGATGAGGCAAATAAGTCAGTCAAAAGAAGCGGGTTTTTAGCGGCTACGAAGATAAGAATTGTGGAGCGAACGGAAATAAGAAAGCAGAAGTCTATCAAATAACGGGGATACCGGAATATAATTATCGCAGTCTGTGATCCAAATATTAATTTATGGATGATGGTCCATACAAGGGCAAGCTTTTTATTTATTCATTCGTCAAGTCTGGGATCTACAACGATTGAGAAGAATGATGAACTTCAGCAGTACAAGGGGACCAAAAATGACACGCTATCCTACCCACACTATACACCGGTACCAGCGGATCTCCACCATCGCACATGTCCATCCTGCCCACCGGTAATGAATGCACCCGCGGTGCCAGGAGCGGGTGGTTTTGGGGACCAGGCAACGCTCCATACTTCGCCACTTTCTTGGAGCGTTGAGACTGCCGCGCGTGCCGATAAGTCCCAGACCTTGATCGTTTTATCAGCGGACCTAGTGGACAAGAATTACTAAAATTATTTTCTGGTAGAACATCATATACCCTGATGCAGCTAGACGTCCATCCGGCGATATGCTGGTGCTGAGCACCCAAGAGGAGTGGCCCGTGAGTGTGGCTACTGCTCCAGAACCCGGTTTCCCGGATGGAGTCGACCGTACATCGTGAAGAATAAGGCGTTTGTCATCGGAGGCTGTCAGTAACAACTGGACACCGTTCACTTAGGCTACTTTCACTGGATAAAATTGAAGAAACGAACCTGACCGTCGGATGACCATGCCAACGATCGCACACACATGGCATGCGAAGAATAGGTTGATGTTAAAGCTTGTGATTCCAAGTCAAATATGAAGACTTGGCCAGCTTCGTTTGATAATGCCACTCGAGTACCATCTGGACTCTAATCATCAGAAGTGATTCGTTAGTTATTGCGGGCGTTCTGGGTGTTTTGGAATTCGGGGCATTGCTATATTTAAATAAAATAAACTCACATGCACACAATCCATACCGTGTCTACTCCTACCACTCGTCAAGACTGCTTGTCGTGTTCCAAAAGAGTCAGGGTTCGCAGAGTAGATATTCACATTTCCAGAGCTGCTGGTGCCCGCATATGTCGTTCCATTCGGATTGAGTGACACTGACCAGGCTAGGCACATGCAACACCATGAGAAATCATACTTTCTTAGAGTCCGTACTACAACTCACAGGGCTCAGCGCCTTGCACTGTAGAACGGTCGTAGCTTTCATGACGCCCGACCACGGTATCAGCCTGGAGATCCCAAAGCCATGTTGTACCATCGAGACCATTGTACAACGCGAACTTTCCGTCAGGTGAGACAGATAGAGAAACTATGGCAAGATTGTGTGGCGGACGCGACATCGACACTTGTCCAGAGGTGGAATCCCACTGCTTCACCGTGCCGTCTGCGGATGCGGACACGGCCGTATTATTGGCTGTCCATGCTACAGCCCAGATCTCGTCACTGTGCGCTGTAAACGATAAGTTTAATGAAGCCTGCCTAAAAGTTGTGACACTCTGACGCGTACGTTCTTTGCACTCAAGCGCGTTAACGAATGCGAGACTCTAGCAAATTTTATAATCTAACTGCTATGCATCAGAGAATGCGAACAAACCATATCTGACCGCTTTTGTGGTGGATGATTAGGAACAGTGTAAGGCCAACCTCGATCACAGGAAGATGAAATGGGATAACGGCTCTTTCCGAGCGGACTTAAAACACACACAAAACCTTGTTAATGGCCGAAACCTTATTTTTCCTCACATCAACGAGAGCGGACGAAGACATCGCAAATTCTGTAAACTAATCCCAAAAGTATGTTTGTCTATAATAACGCCCAGTCATCTATCTGATTGTAAAATAAAGGATGTCTGACGCTGGAGATGAAATTCAAGTCGACGCCCAGGCCGCTGAGGTCGAGGTCACTACTGAGGCTCCAAAGGGAAAAATGTCCGTGGAGGACGCTCTTCAGGTATGTAGAACTTGAGTTTTTCAGCCAGGTTTTATCCATTATAAACTTTGATCGCGCAGCAAGTCCTGAAGAACGCCCTTGTTCGTGACGGTCTCGCTCGTGGTCTCCGCGAGTGCGCCAAGGCATTGGACAAGCGCCAGGCCCACCTCTGTGTGCTTGTGGAGACCTGTACAGAGGCCGAGTACATCAAACTTATCGAAGCACTCTGTGCAGAGCACAAAATCAACCTGATCAAGGTCGGAGACGGCAAGATTCTGGGCACATGGGCAGGTCTTTGCAAGATTGACAAGGAAGGCAACCCCCGCAAGATCGTGGGCTGCTCTTGCGTCGTTGTCAAAGACTATGGTGTAGAGAGCGAGGGTCTCAATGTACTCCTTGAATACTTCAAGAACCGGTAGGGTGAGTGCCATTCCAATTTTCATATCACGATGACAAGACAGACTCCCTCAACGGAGAATCCGTTCAATGAGGAAACAGTCTAACCGGAATCATTATATTGTCTGATCTTTATTCGTGTTTTCGCGTAAAACCTCATCATTGACTAACATCTCTCTACACTACAGATTCTTTCGTGCCCTTGTACATCATTCTCGTACATCTGCGAATAAATGATCTCCTTTGTACCTTGCGTGTTTGATGGCTAAGTATCATTCAACTTCTGTGACTGGCTGTCACCGGTCACATTTGCCAGCACGGGGGGGCCTAAGATTTCACACATGCTACATCGACTAGTTTAAGTTTGACCAGACAGACCTTGAGAGTTGGCAAAGAGTCTTCGACTGAACGTTGAGCAACTAATTGTAGTCTCCAAGATTTTATGAGTTGCATGTAGTTTTTTGCCGTAACTGTGTCGGCCGGAGTAGCGTTAATTCCGTGTACATTCAGACTTATATATATATAGGCAAACTCCCCAAAGTTTCAACTCTCTAAGAGGTCATGGCCTCCCCAAAACCTAGTAGTCGAGCGCCTCATAAGGCTGCCATGTCGCGAACACCATCATATATCCAACTTGCACCCCGCCGCGCGATGGCGTCCTTTGAGAATCTCGTCGCACTCGCAAACCACCAAGAGCGACTTCGGGAAGCTCGAAGGATTGTCTGGAGGGAGCGCGGAGAGCCTGCTGTCGAGCTTGAAGACCTTTGGGAGTGTATGGAGCATGCGGGGCGTGGAGGATTAAGTGAGTTATCATTTAGCATACTCACGGTGGTACGCGTTCTTCATATTTGACATGTAGGAGCTGCAGCTATCGCTTTTGCTCTCCGTGCAAGTGTGAATCTTGTGTTGGCAACTATAAGAATAGGAAAGGTGCCAAAGTGAGTTAGGGCTGGACCTTCACTCAGATCCCTGGTCGACTGAGTTGTACAGGAACATGAGGCTCTCACTCATTCAACATGCGATCTTTGGAAAGGATTCCTTTAGATTTGCGGCCATGCTTGGTGAGCATATGGATGTTATAGTATCTTATGCAAGCTTCTTCTTATGGACTGCGCAGGTTCTTTCGTGACTATTTACAAGGCAACACTCAATGCCCTCCCCATCCTCCTTCCCGTCAATGAACGTGCAAGACCACCCTCACCATTTGAGGACGAAAACGAAGATATCGAAGTCCCACCAACGCCTTTCGAGGTTCCCCTCTCAGACAGACAGCCACGCCTTTCCTTAAGCGCTCAAGCACATCAAGTGTGGGTGCGTAAGAAGACGCGGCGATGGTACTCTATGTTTGCTGGTGCTCTAGCCGGTGGCCTCGCTGTTATGTTTGAGAAGCGATCGAGAAGAGTGGTCATCGCACAACAACTCTTCGTTCGGTAATTTACTCTACTTTTATGATAATGTGACGATTCATTTAACAGCGATGTCTAGAGGTTTACAAGGTTCATATAACGCGTTTACGTCGAAGCACGGTTTCCATCTACCCAATGGAGAAGTGCTCATGTTTTGTCTTTGGTATAGTCTGTGTATTATGGTAGAGGTCTTAGTTCTGACGTGAACAGCTGTACACAAATTGTGTACGCATTATTTGCACGACCAGACACGCTCCCGCGATCATACACCACATGGTTAGTCGATTAAAATGTTTTGCAGCATATTTTTGAAGAATTTCTTAGGCTTACAACTGCATCGGGCGCTCCACCAAGCGCGATGAAGATGGTCCAAGACATAAACCAGACTGGGACGTTTGACATACAAGACATCAACAAGATCCTCAGCCGCGAGGTGAGTTTTTTATGCTGACTTTCCTCGCTACATTCTCACTTGCTTGACAGGATCTTATCCCCGCAAATAAGGCCACTCTTCTTGCCAGAAGGGCACTAGCTACCAATTCACCTCCTGACTTTGGGCCGTCTTACCCTCCCTGTGGCGCCGTGCACCCCTGGGTAGAATCATGCACACACGTGCCGCTACCACGCTTTGTCACAGTATTCAAATGGGCCTTCCCAATCTATGGTGCCCTGCATTTTGTCCCGATGATATTGTTCAAGCGCCACGCGTTCTTTAAGAACCCATTGCAGAAACTTGGACGTGCAGGATGGGCTACAATACGGAGTTCTGCGTTCTTAGCAACGTTTATTGCTACGTTCCAGAGTATGTATTTACACCGTGCCTTTGTCCCTGCATGACATTTCACATCCCCTTGTAGCGTGGTTCTGTTTCAAGCATTACCTTCACCGGACCCTCTCCTCCCAAACTTTAGTCAAGCTCCCTCAGAAATTCATTGACTTCTTTTTGTCGAAGTACTCCTATGGACTCGGTGGATTGTTTGGTGCGCTTTCACTTCTTGTCGAGGAAAAGCGGAGGCGAGGAGAACTCGCGATGTACGTTCTGCCGAAGGGGATGGAAAGTGCCTGGTTGACGGCAAGAGGCAAGGGCTGGGTATTCCAAACCGGTCAGTTTGGGGAGATGATCGTAAGTGTTCAATTTCGTGTTGGATGGACGTGCTGACTGACATGTGTTAGCTCGCTGCGATCGGAATGAGTATGGTTATGGTGAGTGAGAGGTTGATATATTATTCCAACGCCGTCCTGATCTTATTTTTGCAACGTCAGAGTATCTATCAGGTGACTTTGATTCTGTCCGTAGTAAGAAATGTCCTGAATATCTCATTTTTTGTAGAACGACCCGCATCATCTGTCTGGGCTCGTAAGGCGGATATTATATCAATTCATCGGACCTAACTGAGTGGAGGCAGCGAGATCGTTTATATCCTCTGGGGATAAATCATTGTCTGGGCTTTTGATCGCCCTCGTTATAATGTCGTGTACACTATGGATACGTCGCACCAGGCCCTGACAGAGCGATACGGATAGCATTAATTGTCGTTACTGCTTTGAGCTCGCGATGATCAAAACTTTACTGTTTAAAGAGAATAACACATCAAATCGCATTAATGACAACCAAACCTGGGAGATCATGCCAAAGAAATTGAAAGGATTGTACGTGATGGATACAGTCACATGAATAGATAACTCGGCAGTAGTCATGGACTGAAAAATGCTACTGGTTCCTACCAGAGGCAACAATCAAGCACCCGCCCTTGCCCTATGCCTTTTTCGCAAACTCGTCTTCACTCACACAGCATTACTTGCTGAGAAGCATGCACGATTGTGCGAGAATTCTGGTTGATCGGAGACATGAGGTGAGTGGGCGTCCAAGAACGAGACCAGATCGTCCGCAATGATTCGATGCATCGCACTCGTGGGACGCAGCCGATCTACCCATATTGTGCCCCCAGCTTCGCTGGCGTCACAGGGATCAAATCCAAATGCGTTTGGGTCATCCAACACGCGCGAAAACGTGTCCCATGACGAAAAGAGGAAGGTGGTGATGTCTGGATGGGTTCTAGTCCAGCTCCGGAGCTCTTTCTCTAATGTCGCGTTCCATGTTTGATATTGCTCCATCACGGTATCAATATCGTCGCGCACTGTTTTGAAATGAATATGTGGACCACAGCAGAAGATGCGACACCATACCTGAGGGCGATCGGTGGATTGGAGGGAGGTCAAACAACAGAAAATTTCGAGCTCCAGAGGCGTATAATCTCTCTTGATAACGGAAAAGCCCTTTCAGCGTGTTGAACACGCCATCAATGTCGTCGATGAGGCTGGGGAATTCTCGATCAGTTGATAATCAAGATAGCAGGATGACAACCTCACGCGAGATCATTGATACCAATCCAGGTCACTATCGTAGATCAACGCAGATGCCGTTAGAGAGACAAAGTATGCAACTCAAGAGCACTCACTAAAGAGCGTATCCTGTGGTTCCCATGGTGCTGATGATGGCTTCTTTGCGACATTCGGAAGGAACTGGTATATGATCTGTCTCTCCAGAGAAGAAACAAAGTCATTTCCCCTGGCATAGTCGTACACCAGCTTAGATGGACGCGATTTCACTAGATGTCCGACCCAGTTCGGCTTGCCAGGCTCTGTGTATGTTACCCCAGGATACGTCACTCCCAGGGGGCTCTTGACCGTCGGATTGGGAGAAGATTGGTAGTCCCAACGAATGCTGCTATAGGAATCGCCACTGAATGGATCACATTAATCTTCGCTTAGTCGATAGGCGGGGTGAGGACGTACAATATGATCAAATACTCGATCTTGCTGAACCCATGCCATGTTTTCCCCGCCTGAATGATAGTCGAAGGCATCCGAGTCGTTCAGTTGAACCGAGTCACTGTTAACGTTGTTCAAGAAGACAAGGAACAAATAATTCTCTTACCTGGCTATAAAGTATGGAGGATCCTCGTGTACTCCGCGCTTTGGCGGCAGAAGTACTGCTCCACTAGCATGTTCCGACTTGACAGTTGAAGGGCTGGAGGTTCCCCATTCGGGATTCAAAAAAATACCCGGATTCTCCAACCCTAAGGCCTACTTACTCCCGTGGACTTCATGTACAAGTTTTACTTTTAACCACAACCCAATTGGTGGAATGGAAGGAAAGGAGTCCCCTGAACGCGTAAATTCGCAGAGTCCTTCTACGTCCAAGACGGCGTCTGGAGTATTCTCTCCTTTCCAGCCATACGCACGATCCAAGTTTAGTCCCTCCAGCCATATCACCATGTTGTTCTGGCACATTAACCTATTGATTGAATTTTGAAGGGGTCCTATTCTCGGTCTGGGGACATTATGTACGTGTTAAAAAGTTTTCTCTTCACATCATCACTATCTGATTTTTTTTTGGAACGAATAGTTGCAGCTTCAGCCGTTGTTCCGTCCACTGTCGTTCGTCCAAATGTCTACTTTCCCCCATATCTCCACCGGGTCGGCTTCTCCCTGGTTTTTGGTGGTGCCGCGTACGTTCTGGGGGCTGGTGATGCAAGGAATGGCAGCGGCATAGCTACTGGTGAGTTCTAGCATCACTCTCTGATTCACATATGATGTACATGCACTGCGACAGCTTGGTCATTGACATACCTCTTCTTGCATCTACGACGGTCTCTAAGACTACCATTTTATCCAATGACAATTGCGATGACGACAGGTACAGCTGCATGTGCGGCTTTGTACGGCACAGAATACTTCATGTACCAGACCTAAGTCACGGTTTACCTTAATATCTGGTCCTTCTGATCGTCCCTGCGCCGGGTACTTCTACCCCGTGACAGGCAAGCATGTCTGTGGAGTCACTAAAATTATAAACATTTACCTCGTGTCGCCAAGAAGCCTGCCCGTGACCATCAAGGGACGAGACCGACCACTTGGCGTCTTCCCCAACGCCTTCAACCCTTTTCGAATCATCAGGGAAGTACATTGGCAAATAGGAGATGCAATTTAGATGCTCGAGCTTGAGACGGAGAGCTTGAGGGAAGCCTGAAATCACCCAATTCTCTGAGGGCGTCAGGGTGATTCGATGCAACGATCGCCCAAAAGATGGATTAATCGTGATTTCTCTTGCGAGACAAGCTTTAGATCTTACCCATCTTGCCTGCAGACCTCTTCGACTTCGGTTTCGCAAAAATAAATCCGGATCATAGGTCCTTGCCTGCACCCAGCAGCTATGCACATCACTGTATGTGATGATCACACAAAGTGACGAACTATAACAGATTAAAATACTTGCAAAATCCCATCAGTGCAGAGATATTGAACGTCAAAACGCTCGCCGCCGCAGCACTCTCGAACTAGTGCCGGATGCCCGCAACTATGACCCGATGAGCTGTAAGCGTTACCTAGACTATATGTTGGATTGCGATGTGGTGAATCGAGTGAATCAGGAAGTCATTCCATCACCGGCGGCATTCTAGTATTTGATATCAACGTGTATATGCGCTTTATGCCGTGGCGTTCATCACGAGACACAACATGTTCTTGGTCTTTCCTGAAGTATGTGATGCTTGTGTGTGGCGTATGATTTGAAGCTGGAAATGGTCCTCTGCGTATAGGTAATATTTCGACACACGCACACAATCTGTGCTCAAGTACTTTTGACGAGCGTATGTAACCTCGTATGAATCTAGCGGAATCTAAGTGAATAACTGAAGAAGGACATGAGGTTTGTAGTCAGTATGCTATTGATAAAAGGACGAGAAATATTCCAAAGGGTGTAATGAGCACATCTGCTAAATGTTAATAGGACAACGCCTCCAATTCAAAATGAAATGCCCTCGAAACAGTGCTAAAAGCAAAAACATGAGTGATCGTTTCCATGCTCTCCAGAGGTAACATTAATCGGCCTCGCTGCAGATTGTGGCTGCGAGCCGGGGGTCGGTGAAGGAGGAGGAAAGACATGGTCTTCATCAGGGATCCAATCATCATTACGCTTGGGGGGAGCACCCGCTGCAGCGTTGCGCTGTAAGTGAATGTATGAGACCTGCGATATAGTCGAAAATTAACCGAGCGCACCTCTTTACCCTGTGCAAGAGGAACATCGACGATAGGCAACCGGGCTGATAAGTGGCGTATGCGAGATTTGAAGGTAGTGGGAACAGCAGTAGAGGACTGAGAGGCAGGCGGTAGTCGTGCGGATCGAGACTGAAAATGTAAGTTGAAAATGTAATGACGACAGTGAACACTTGCATTCTCGCCGGGATCGATATATGAACGCACCTGAGTCGTGGCCTGCCCCGAGGGAGAGTAATTTGGAGGTAAGGGCAACGTAGCAGGGAACTACAAGGTGAGGGTCAAATTGACTGCGAAGGCAACAGATAGAAGAAACGTACGTCCAGCGGATCACTAGGTTCGTGGTTCTGAATAGGACGAAGTGCGTTCGTGCGGGAGGAGGAAGGGAGAAGTTTACGAAGGTAGTGAAGGAAAGCGGGTCGCTGTGGGTATTTTGTGCGTTTTGGTGGGACGCGGACGGGAACTTTGATGGGATTATGGCGCACAGCGCGGCGTGGATTGCGAGGCGTATTGATCTACAAGAACATGTTAGCGTACGAACAGATAGATATATGCGCCTAAATGCATACATTGAGCTGTGCTTCCTGTGCAGGCCATACACTAACGAGAATGTTAGGTGGAATGTCGCACATGGAAATCCTGGACTTCATATCACACCAAGTCGTGTAAGCCAGTTGATGTGAGTTGGGTGAGAGGATAATGCAGTGCGGTCCCTGAACATGGAATGAGGCGAGGAGCTGGCGGGACTCGAAAGCCCAGAGCTTGATGGTGTCGTCTGTGGAAGCGCTAGCGAGGAGAGCACCATCAAATGAAAGTGCTAGACCAGTCACAAGATGGGTATGCCCTTTGAAGGGGGCTCCAACTGTCTTCAGTGTCGACGCGTCGAATTTGTAAATCATCCTTGGAAGGTCGATGGCAGTTGAGATCGGGTCGATGAAGGAGAATGCGGCTATGATGTTTCGGTCTTTTTCTGTCCAGAACACTGGCGCACATGTCCACCTCCCGCCGACAGTGCTTGATTTTCCTACTCTGGCATCCAGTTTCTGTGCATGGACATCCCAAATGTCAAGGCACTTCCCAAAATATGACTTGACTGCCAGCTTCTTGGAGTCTTGCGAGAATCGAACAGCGCCCACTCCATCTTCAGATACAAATGGACCAGTCACGAGTTTGCCAGTATCCAAGCTCCATATCCGTATGGAATCATATGACCCGCTCGCCAGCAGAGTGCTGTCCGCGGAGATATCGATGCAGGTGATATACCTTGAGTGTCCTTCCAATGTTTTAACAATCCCAGTCTCGACCTCGCACGCTCGGAGCTCCCCAAATTGATGCGAATTTTTTTTTCCACCAGCAGTGACGACCCATCGACCATTCCTTGATACCTCCACCGCATTTACCATGCCCTTACAAACATCCCGTACCTTCACAATCTCTTTACCCACCTGTAGATCCCATTTCCGAGCAGTCCCATCCCAAGATCCACTAATCATTTGCTGACCATCCGGAAGGTAGGAAATGGATGAAACATGGTGCATGACGCCATTAATGAATCGCTCGTCGTTCGGAAGTTTATGACCCTGCAACGTCATGACCGGTGTCAAGATCGATTCGTTTGTTGCTTTGACGAGATATGTTGAGCTAGAAGCCATAACTGATCTCTTTGACGGCGAGGTTGACAAGTACTAGCACGATTACGAGGCTGGTTTCGGGAAGGCCCCTCGTGTGTATTGACCTGACGCTGTTGGTGAAGTCTGACTCGTTCGAGAGCTCCACCACTTTCCCTGCCAAAATTTATCATCAATTCATTCGTGTGGGGTGGTCAGATATCGAGTTTTTTTATCTTACCAGGAGGTAATCAAGGAAGAGATAACAACTACCCGATTGATAGGCATACGTACGCCACATCTTATATATATCCTTCCTCGTGTGTATTACACTTTATGTAATTCATCATGCAGTGTATTCATATCGACGTCGAGTGCCTGATACCTGAATTCTAACTTCCGTGGAAACATTGCGTTTGTATCAATAGCACTTTGATCACCTTCCGTTTTATTCTTGATGGGTGGGCCCTCTTCCAGCAACGCTAATGATTACCGCGAAGCTTTATCACTGCTAGCAGTCTTGGTTGGATTGGGTGCAAAATGTGAAATGCGACTCCGTGCAGTAGACTGGCGCAATTCAGGGATGCCAAGCCATTGGCAGAGAAGGTGGTTGTCGAGGACGATGGGCGAGATATGGAGTTGGTCGTCATGGGCGCCGATTTCGAGAGGAGACATTTGAAAGTCTGATAACTTCGTTGAAGCGGAAGTCCTCGAATGTATATACATGCAGGAGTGACCGCTACCTCAGGCACGAGTATTAATCCCATGTACGAGTGAAGAACCAATACTGCTGTAAATATTGCTTGGAGGTTTGCGGTCAAGGCTAATCGACGTGGAACCTACCACTTTTATGCCCTTTTTTGCACATCTCCCCATACCTGCCGGCGCCCTCGAGCGTGCGTGACTCCAACCTCCCTTACCGCACACCAGGTACGTGGTTCTGATCTGCAGAAAGGTTTGGTATTGCGCATTCGCGAGCAGGACACGCGGAAATGTCTGTCACATGGGGTCACGTCGTAAATGCCATCTATAGACTATGATGAGGAAAGTACCGTTGAATTTGGATAGGAGTCTTCCGAGGAACCAAGGTGACTGAGATTGCGAGGGCATCGATCTTGCGAAGTGTGTGGGTTTGAGTGTGGCTACCTCTCAAAGTGGGGAGTCGGGGGTTAGTTTGGGCGAGTGATCGTCGATTTATCTAGCCTGGCACCCCATCGTAGTATACAAGACTAGTTTGTCCTCGTGTATGATCGAATCAGTTTGAAAGTATGCGCTTTTGATATCTTGGAATCAAAAATATAAAGTCAAAAGAATAGATAATACTCACCGTGTTCTCCCTCACCCATATCCTTTGCCTCCCAACTCACAGTACTAAGTACCTTACGTTGCGCAATCAACAAAGGTACTCTCATCGTCATGTAGAAATTCGAATGCGGCTTGCAAGATGTTGTTGTTCAGTCCAACAAACATCAATACTCCCAAATTGATCTCATCAACGAAGGTGCTTCCGGGACCCGGAGTCCGGACCCTTGCTTTGACCGCGGACTTTTATGATTTCGATCTATTGTTCTCTGGGTACAAGCATGCATCGTGCATTTAAGCTGTGGATGCTTCCACAGAAGCCACAGTACGCGAACAAATTTAAAGCACGACAAGTTCCTCCTCGTCGTTTATTTCAAGCAGATCCCCAACTTGACCCAGTACCACATTTTTTTATCACAGTACCCGTGTTTAAAAGACTACACCGCGTAAAATGAACAAAGGAATCCTTCCTCGCGGTGCCCACTCATCCAACAACCTAATCCAAGCTTCAAGTCAAGGAGAACTCTTCATGGATGAAACCACACTCGACAAGCTATCTCGTGCACAGCTACAGAAGGTAGCTAAGGTGTGTCTCGCGTTTCTTGTCCTCAGTGCTAGCCACTGACATGACAACAGGCTCATGGAGTAAAAGCGAACATGAAGAGCACGGTAATCATTAGAGAGTTAGTCAGACTCAGCAAGGTTGTTCCCCTACTGTACGTGCCCTACTTCATCTTCTATGCTATAGTGGTCCTAACGGTCGTCCAGTCAGGATGAAGAGAGTCAAGAGCCACCGAGAAAGAAGTCAAGAACGATGGAGGAGCGTCCAGCTGCCGGTCCTTCGACACGAACCATAGATTTACCTATGGATGCAAGTTGTGAGTGTCGTATCTCGCATTGCAGTACAAGAAACCTAACCCTTACCAGTTGATCCTCCCATCATCAAGGAAGATGCCCCTACACCCATCCTGATTCTGGCAGAAGAAAACAAGACTCCTACAAAAGCAACCAGACACACTGGTGTCATCTCTACCGACAATCTAATGAGAAAATCGCCAAGTCTTTCCCCGCTAGTAGCAAGTCCCAATGAGCACCCAGCTGCGGATTATGACTCCAGTGATTCGGGTGGTTCCTATCTATCCTACGCAAGTCCCAGTCGGCAGCGATCCCCTGTCAGCTCACGTACAGGAACACCTCCTCCCGAAGAACCACGACTGCTCAGCCGGGCTGTGGACATCATGAAACAGATCACGGCCGACGATCAACGCATTCTCAACCAGGCTGCCACTCTCCGCCAGAGAGCGGCGGGGCTGAAAGAGCAGGCGAGTAAAGTGCGGGACGTCGTGCGTGTCGAGCAGGGACGCCGTGTGAGATTGGAGGCCTACTTCGCGTACTGGAGAGAGATCACGCCTCAATGGCCAAAAGATTGGATCTACGAAGAGGGCGAGGAGGATCAGATCCGGACAGAGCGAGTGCTGAGGACTATGCCACTACCGTATGTACCCCGCTGTCCTTAACTTACTCATGGTTCTTAGCACTTCGTTGATAGGCTACCGTCAACAGGCCCGACAGGTCCACCTACTTTGTCTTTTGACGGACGAGACGCACCGTGAGTTCTCGTTTGCATTCTGCTTGTCCAACTCAGCTGACGACGACTATCAGGAACTCTCATAGGGAGTTGAGACGCCGTCAACTTCAGCCACGACATAAAACTCATGAGCAGAAGAATGGGGCAGCTGCCCCTCCTGCAGAAGTCGAGCAAGCAGATAAACATGCCAATCACCTACCTTCCCCGCAGTTTACAAACAAAGGAAGACCGGCAAAACGAAAACACTCTACTTGAATCGTTGACGATTGATACTTTGAGCTTGATCTACCGATGTTACTTTACCCTCGGTCATGACATATCCTGTTATAATGTGTATCACTCACAAGTTCGTGTAATTGTTATATCTCACCGATTGAAATAAATAATGACTCCTGCTCGTCCATTTTGTCGTCGGACTCAGGACCATCTTGCGCTCCCCAGTCCAATTCTTGCTATATAACATGTTCAGCGGTGGTCAGAAAGATGGATATCTGTAAGGATTGTATATCCTCTAGGCCCCGACCACACTTCAAAAAGAAGACGCCCGAACGGATCATACGTTCGGAGTCGTCCGTGTGACTCACTGATGCCAAGAGTCTTACTCTTTGTATCCGAGTCACGCGGATACATCCCTTTTCACTTTCATTATGTACCTTATCTTGCGCTCGCGTCTCTGTCCCTTCATCTTGTATTTTCACCTCGCCACCAAGTATTTTCACTTCGTTATCGACTATTTTCACCTTGCTATCGAGCATTTTCACGCTGCATCTGGCTTAATAAAAGTATTTCAAACGTACTTATACGACCAATGTTGTTACGACACACGGTCATGTGCGACTAGGATGATCTAAACAGCGACAACCACGACAGTGGTACCGAGTGCTGAGAGTCGTCGGCCTTTACAGACAAGCAAAGGTTGCGTACTCGAACGTAGCTCGTGGTGGTTAACAAGGGGTTACGCTGAGATGATAGCAGGGTTTACAGACAGTGAGAGGCATCACTGAAGGTACAAGTCGATGTCGAGCAGGTAGCTTTAGCGGGACAAGGAGTTCAAGGGTAAACCTAGTAAGATTAAAGTAAGGAACGTCTTGTTACAACACACGGTCATGTGCGACTAGGATGATCTAAACAGCGACAACCACGACAGTGGTACCGAGTGCTGAGAGTCGTCGGCCTTTACAAACAAGCAAAGGTTGCATACTCGAACATAGCTCGTGGTGGTTAACAAGGGGTTACGCTGAGATGATAGCAGGGTTTACAGACAGTGAGAGGCATCACTGAAGGTACAAGTCGATGTCGAGCAGGTAGCTTTAGCGGGACAAGGAGTTCAAGGGTAAACTTAGTAAGATTAAAGTAAGGAACGTCTACTGTTAATCTTCGACCTTATATAAGGCTACTCTTCGTATCTAAGCTCAGCCTAAAGCTGGGTTCTAATCTGCTTATCTACATGAGTCAGAGATAGCGTCCATGAGGCGGGCTTCTATCGTAGATAGGATCCATGAGGTATCCTTCTATCAGTACATGAGGCAACACGAGGCTTGCCTTCTATCTTGATAACATAAATAGGTCTTCTAGACCTATGTCATCATGTGTCGTCATATGCGGTCCAGACTGCTTATCTAAGCCGGCAGTTGCCACTTATCATCTATCATCATCTGTCATCATCTATCGTCATCTATCGTCATAGAGCTGGTGAGACTCCGGTATCGTCTATAGCCGTGCGGTGGCAGAGGGCTGTTTGCTGGCAGGGGACTCATGCCATGTTACTGTAACAAATGTATGCTAATGTAGAGCAGCGAATTCTATCCTAGATTCCCGCTCCAAGTACTTCAGAAGCCCTACCTGAGTGTGTCCGTCTTAAAAGAGTTAACATCATTCGTGTCTCTTGTCGTCTCATCTAACCCCCTTAGCTCACATTCCTCTTCGAACTCACTAGCTGCCTTACATATTGGAGCCCACCACGAGGGGAATTGTTTTCGAGCAACCCTTTACACCCAAAAACCCGGTCTTTAGACCAACAACACTCTCACCATACACAAATACTGCCATCCTAATGCGCAGGCACGTCTCCAACAAGAAAAGCCATCTGCGCTGGCTCCAGTAAGAAACGCACCCACGCCCAAGAAACTTAGAACTCACGCCAACACTCTCACTGCCCCCTCGACGCCTCACTCCCTCGATACAACCAATCAAACCTCTCCTATAGAAATTCCTATGTATCGAACTCCTGCCTGCACCAAGATTATAGACGCGTCAGACGTACCATCCGAATCCTCCCTGTCAGAAGAGGACACTGTCCACCAAACTTCCCAGCTCTCTCCGTTTCCCCTTCTCCCGTCCCAGCAACCATTTAGACTTAAACCGGCCGTCTTTGACCCAGCAACCCCCACCCATCCATCCCCGTCATTTGAACCAGTGGCCATCGCAATGCAGTCCACTGCTCCTTCTGCACCTCCAATTTCCAAACCACAGTTCGTTCAGAACACGTCATCATCCCTTCCGAATCCGCCCCGTGCGACCTCTCCCCCGATACCTACACATCCTTTACTGAAAACAATTTCAACAACTACACCTATCGTCATGTCCACAAACAAAGGTGTGGGTGCCATGCCTGGGCCTGGCTCAAATAAAGCACCGTCCTTCAACGGTGAAATGTTGGAGCTACTGGAGTTTATAGAAATGTTCGAGGATCTAGCAACGTCTTACGGACTTACGGATGCCGACAAATGCAAGATGATAGTACGCTACGTCAACCTGGAGACCAAGAGGTTCTGGATCACGCTCACTGGATATGAGAGCAAGGACTTTACGGTATTCAAGGCAAACATTCTTGGACAGTACTCTGGAGCGGCAAAAGGAACACGATAGACCCTCCGTGATTTAGAAAGAGTTATCCTTAACGCGGTTGAGTCTGATATTGAGACTGAAACAGAGTTATTACAGTACTATCAGCAGTTTCGACCCATAGCCATTTGGCTCATCGCAAATTCGAAGATCTCCACATGCGAACACGATCGGTACTTCTGGCAAGGTCTTCCCCACGCAGTACGACTTGTTATAAACCAACGACTTCAGCTCAAAGACCCCAACTACACTCGGAGCGAGGCTACTGATTTTGAGAAAGTCGTTGAAGCCGGACACTTTGTGCTCTCAGATGATGCATTCGATATCGACATGAACGAACCGATCGCTTCGCGGATAAGGTCGATAAGGGATAAACGAAGGCCTAAACAGACACGTCAACATCTGGACTCTGACGAAGAAGATGAAAGGAAAGACGCATGGCGAGAAGTTCAGACGAAAAGAGTAGTATTCACACCTCCCCCATCGGCTCCTGCAAAACCTACCATGGACGAGCTGGATGAATTAGCACGCAAGATGCATGGGCTCGACATCGGGAATGCCGCCTACTCAGCATGCTACGTGCGACTCGCTTACCTCGCTCCCGTCGCAGCGCAAGCTTGGGCCCCTCCTAGTTCGCGGCAACTCGTCAATTCAGTCGCGGTGCAGCCTCAAATGACGTACCTCCCCCTTCCTCCCATCCCATCACCCTCAACTCAATATTCAAACGCAACTTGCTTCTTTTGCAGTGGATCTCATGTCATGCACACTTGCGCAGTAGCCGGTGAATACTTACGAGCAGGAAGAATCATCCAAGACGGACAGTATTTTGCCTATCCAGATAACTTGCGCATACGACGAATCGGTAACGGGACCTTCAAACAGGCAATCAACGCAAGATATGCTGTTCCTGCTCCTCCCACACCTGCAACTGGACCCAATTCAATCCCCCTCGAAAATTCCCGACGAGAACCAGCCCTACAACCCAACCCCGACGTTCCCTCATCAGCATTCATTTCGGAATCTTACTTCCTGCAGTGCACCCCCGTCACGGAGAACCATGCTGTTATAGTGACCATCGAAGAAGAAGAAGACGAACAAAAGGGAGACGTACTAGCAATCACAAGGTCCAAAGCCAAGGCAACGCAAAGCATCAAGGACACCCCTACTGAGAAGCACATCTATCCACCATCATCTACCCCACCTCCAAGTTCCACGGAGATTGCCAAAATTGAAGTTCCGAAAGGACCTGCCTTCAAGTATGAATCGAAAGCCACTGCACCTGACGCTGTTAGACGTGTCTACGAGACCATCCTAAATACCGTTGTCCCTCTTCTAACAGTATCAGACCTACTTTCGATCAGCCCTGAACTACGCAAGGAAGCGGTGGAGCACTGCCGCACTCACTGGGTACCCGCGGCCAACACGACCTTATCTACTAATGCCTTCAGCTCCAGAACACCAGCCCCAGTACAAGTCGAGCATGCCACCCCTTTGCAAGAGATTTGCGTGACGCTCAATGGAGTTCACTCCGAGCTAGCACTACTAGACGAGGGGTCAGAGATTGTGGTCATCCGACAGGACATTTGGAAGAAAACGGACACGCCCATCAATCAGAAGGTGCGCATGCATATGCAAACCACAAATGGAGGATGTCAGGAGATGGCCGGATGCTTAGAGATGCTGGAGATAGATGTCGAAGGTATCAAAACTTGGGTACATGCTTACGTCGTACCAGACGCACCCTACAGGTTACTTTTAGGACGACCCTGGCAGAAACTCGTCCGCCTTTCCAAATCTGAAGATAACGACAACGTCTACATCACCATCACCGATCCGCTTGACACCTCCAATACTCGCACCATCACCACTCTGCCTCGTCCTTGGCCATCCCCTCCGCAATCCCTCGCATTAACGGCGGCTGCCTTTTCCATGTCTCCCCACATGTCCCTTCCTATGCTATCCTACCAACAAGCTCAACAGACATTTATCATGCCATCAAATTGTTCGGTTCTACCCATCACTTCCTCTTTCTCCTTCTGCCGACAAGCTCAACAGACATTTATCACGCCATCAAATTGTTCGGTTCTACCCATCACTTCCTCTTTCTCCTTCTGCCGACAAACTCGACAGACATATATCACGCCATCAAGTCGTTCCACTCTCCCTTCCCTTCCTTCTATAGCAATCTCCGCCTTCGCCGAACTAGCACTACAAGAAAACTTCGACATTGACCCAGGCCGTCACATTTTTGTATATAAAAGGGTAGCTAACAAAGTCAAGCCTGTAGCAACGACAATGCCTGCCCACGCCCGCATCATTCGGTGCATCCCAGAAGACCCGCTCCAATCTCTCCCACCTCTATTCCCAAACCCCCCCGAATTCCATCCTGGCTCCCGTTTATCCCAGGAACGCATGGACAAACTCGGTATCTTCAAGAATGACTTCTTGTGGCCAGAGGAGCAAAAGTTAGCAGCCCACGTTCTGTCCAACAATGAGCTGGCGCTGGCCTGGGACGAAACCGAGAAAGGCCGTTTTCGTGACGAATACTTCCCGCCTGTCATCATTCCTACCATCGAGCACACTCCTTGGGTCCACCGGCAACCACCTATCCCCCCAGGCATTCGCGACGAGGTTATCAAACTTGTTAAGTCCAAAATCGCGTCCGGTGTTTATGAAGCATCCAACAGTTCGTATCAATCGAAGTGGTTTTGTGTCGCGAAGAAGAATGGTTCCATATGTATTGTACACGATCTCCAGCCACTAAATGCTGTTACTGTCAAAGACGCTGCGACCATGCCTTACGTTGAATTCTTTGCAGAGCAATGCGCTGGACGCGTGATCTACTCAATGATGGATCTTTTCGTTGGCTTTGATCATCGAGCTCTTGCGGAGGAGTCACGCGATCTCACTACATTTCAGACCGCCCTCGGCACGTTTCGTCTCACAGTTTTGCCTCAAGGATGGACAGACTCTCCCACGGTCTTTCAGAACAACATCACCTTTATCCTTCAAGAAGAAACTGACATCACACCAAACTTTCAAGACGACGTAAATGTTCTAGGACCTCACACTTGCTATGAGTTGCCAGACGGAACATACAAAGCAATTCCCAAAAATGTTGGCATCCGCAGGTTCGTTTGGGAACACTGCGTAGATGCCAACAGAGTTCTTCATCGTTTGAAGCACGCTGGAGCTACGGTATCAGCTACAAAGCTGTTCCTTTGCGTCCCAGAAGTCTTGGTAGTAGGACAGACGTGCACTTACGAAGGCAGAATCCCTGATAAGTCCAAAGTGTCCAAAATTACTCATTGGCCCGCTTGCACCACCAGAACAGAAGTATGAGGGTTTCTGGGTACAACGGGGACGATACGCAACTGGATTAGAAACTACGCTCGGATCACACGGCCGCTTACGAACCTAACACGCAAAACAGTGCCTTTTGAATGGACACCAGAAGTCCAAAGTGCTATGGACGAACTGAAAGCCGCCATCATCAGCTCTCCTGCCATCCGACCCATAGACTATTGATCACTCAATGAGGTTGTCCTGGCAGTAGACTCTTCTCAACTCGCCTGCGGATGGATTCTGTTCCAGCTTGACAACGAATCACGTCGTCGTCCGGCACGTTTCGCATCTATCACCTGGAATGACTGAGAGGCACGTTATTCGCAAGCAAAAATTGAACTCTATGGATTATTTCGCGCGCTCAAAGCAGCCAAAGTATGGATTATTGGCGTCAAGAACCTCATCGTCGAAGTCGACACAAAGTACATAAAAGGAATGCTGAACAATCCGGATGTTCATCCGAATGCCGCAATCAACCGTTGGATAGCAGCCATTCTTCTTTTCAACTTCAGACTTCGACACGTGCCTGGTTCCAAGCACGCGGGACCCGATGGACTATCACGACGACGACAAACCGCAGAAGACGTCGAAGAAGGAGCAGAAACGACGGAAGAAGTAGAAGAGTGGGTAGATGAGATATTGGAAGCGGGAATATGGGTGGCAAAGGAATTGGACGACGAATGGCCTGGAAGATTGAGTAGCGCCCTTGTCTGCACTGGAACCTCTCAAGATCCACTCAAAACCCTTGCTCCTGACGACACTTCATTACGCTCTGACGACGAGCTCAAGACCATCAAACTATACTTAGAAACACTCAACTTCCCTCCATCCACTCCAATCTCCCATCAAGTTCGTTTACGCAAACGCGCAAGACAGTTCTTTGTTCGGGGAAACCATTTATGGCGAAAAGAGACCGGAGGACGCCATCAGATAGTCATTTTTGAGCCGGGTCGCCTACAAATCCTTCAAGAAGCTCACGATCAGCTCGGCCATAAGGGATTTTACTCCACTCGACGCACTATTTCGGATCGCTTCTGGTGGCCATCGCTAGACAAGGATTTATCCTGGTACCTCAAAACCTGCCACCAATGTCAGATTCGGTCAGTCGAAAAAGTTGTGCTACCGCCCATCATTTCCATCCCTTCGACCCTCTTCTGCAAAGCCTTCACCAACTCTATGTATATGCCTACCTCACACGGCTTCACCTACATTGTCCAAGCACGATGCTTGTTGTCGAACTGGCCGGAATTCAGGATGTCAAGGAAGGAAACAGGAAGAATGCTTGGAGTGTTCTTATTTGAGGACATTCTCTGTAGATGGGGAGCAGTAGAGGAGATAGTAACGGACAACGGCTCACCTTTCGTCGCAGCACTCGACTGGCTTGCCCAGAAATACCACATCCACCACATTCGCATCTCGGCTTACAATTCCAAAGCCAATGGCGTCGTAGAACGTTCTCATCGCTCCATCTGTGATTCACTTGTCAAAACATGTAACGGCGATATCACACAATGGCCTACTCTTGCGCATCACGTCTTCTGGGCGGATTGAGTCACCACACGAAAATCCACCGGCTTCTCTCCGTATTATCTCGCTCATGGAACAGAACCCCTCTTACCATTCGACCTCATTGAAGCAACCTTCATGCTCCCAGATTTTCCTGTGCTGATATCAACCACAGAACTCGTTAGTTTACGCGCTCGCCAACTCCTCAAACACGACGAAGACTTAGAACTCGCACGTGAACGACTTTTGAAGAGTCGCATCGCATCCATTAAAGACTTTGAACAGTGTTTCGCTCGCACCATCAAGGACTATAGCTTTCCGCCCGGCTCACTCATTCTAGTGCTAAACAAAAAAATCGAGGCTGCATCAAACACCAAATGCAAACCACGCTATTTCGGACCTATGGTTGTCATCTCACAATCGCAGGGAGGATCTTACCGTCTCTCGGAACTCGACAGCAGCATTTCGAAACTCAAGTTTGCAGCCTTTCATATCATACCTTATCACCCACGCTCAAGATCCTCAATCGAAATCACTCAATTCATTAACCCTCAAAACCTGAACGGCACCGAGAATGAACAAGAATAGATGCGTTGTTTATATTTTTTCATTTCTACTTATTACACTTCTATCCCTTACAGTACGCTACAATTTTTTTGAGTTAGGAAGATCGACTGGGGACAGTCGATATTCGAAGTGGGGAGGGGATGTAAGGATTGTATATCCTCTAGGCCCCGACCACACTTCAAAAAGAAGACGCCCGAACGGATCATACGTTCGGAGTTGTCCGTGTGACTCACTGATGCCAAGAGTCTTACTCTTTGTATCCGAGTCACGCGGATACATCCCTTTTCACTTTCATTATGTACCTTATCTTGCGCTCGCGTCTCTGTCCCTTCATCTTGTATTTTCACCTCGCCACCAAGTATTTTCACTTCGTTATCGACTATTTTCACCTTGCTATCGAGCATTTTCACGCTGCATCTGGCTTAATAAAAGTATTTCAAACGTACTTATACGACCAATGTATGCTAATGTAGAGCAGCGAATTCTATCCTAGATTCCCGCTCCAAGTACTTCAGAAGCCCTACCTGAGCGTGTCCGTCTTAAAAGAGTTAACATCATTCGTGTCTCTTGTCGTCTCATCTAACCCCCTTAGCTCACATTCCCCTTCGAACTCACTAGCCGCCTTACATATCGTACCAATGAATTCAGCCACAAGAGCACCCCGGTGATAAACCAGAGATGATGCTCATAATTCGTCGTGGCTGACGCACTCGGTACTTATGCATAGCGGTGAATACGTAGCATCGGTATCGAAGCGTTAGGAAAGCAAGCGAGCTGTGCCAAGAGACTGGCAAAGCGAGACTCTGAGCTTATTTGAAGCTGATTTTCATTCGGCTTATATATACATTTCTGGAGGCACTAGAAACAAAGGGAGGACTTATCACAAAGGCAGTCTCCCGTAGCAATAATGGGATAACGAGAACCAAGAAACAAAGGGGGGACCATCACCCGGGCCGTGAACCGCACATATGTCGAAGTCGTGCAGAGGACTTGCAGGATGATGCAGCGGTCCATAACCGCAAGTACTCATTACCCTCTCACTGCACAATCTAATAACTTGGGACGATCGCTGACACCCATCTCCATCATTGTTCAACTTTTCCAAAAAAAAAGAACACGTGTATTGTTCTCTATGCATCCTGACAGTATGGGCGCTTAAAACACGCGCCACGCGCAGGAAGAAACACGTTAGTTCACTTATGGGTTTTATACAGCTTCACCGGGACTTCTTAGCGATGTAGACGCTTTATCCGTCGTCCAAGCCCACGCCAGACAGACAATGTAGTCCTACGCAAATTTATCCCAAGTCAAATTAAACGTCAAGTCAAGGTCCTGCCCTGCACTCACCAAAATCCCACTAGTGCGCGGCAGTATTATCTTCCACGGAATCTGCGAGGTGATTCATGATGCTGGCTCCT